TTTTCCCATATGGGGACCAGGTCCCCATAAGGTAAAAAAAAAGGGTATTCATCACGTTGCGTGGACATTTGGTCCCCACAAGGTAAGGTACTGTATAACTGGACCACACACACACACACATACTATGGGCAATTTCAGAATTCCAGTTACTCTAACAGCATATTTTTGGACCACAGCAGGAAACCACAGAACCCGGAAGAAACCAGAACAATGCAGTAAGACATGGAAACTCGACAAATGGAGCAGAGGCAGGATTGAAATGTCCAGCCCTGGAGGTGAGATGGCCAGTCTGCCGCCCAGGAATGAATCAATTATGTTACCTTCCCTCAAACATTAGGCCTATAATTGTGAAATTTACTATATCGTTGAAATGGAGAGTTATTTAAAATTCATTAAAGAACTGTCAATGTCAATATTATTATTGCTCTGAAAAACAGCTAGACCATCAGCATATACTGCTTTTCATAAGAAAATTGGTAAGCTGCATATATACAGCGCTCAGATTTTATTTTGTTTTGTGTGACTTATTTTTGGATGGCTATCTGGGGAAGATGGTTTTGAAATCAACAAATCAACAAACCCCCGACCATGTGGCAAAACACTCTAAAAACAGAAGCCCAGCAACCACCGAATGTGCACCCTATAATAGGAAAGACCTCACGATTTTAAAGTATAAGCCTTCAATAAGATAAAGACAAATATTGCTTATATGATATTTTTATCTGATGTATGTCTCCTGAAATGTTTTAAAACGAAGTAAAGCAGGTTTCACTGGCTTCCCTGTGAGACCATCACTGAGTATCTTGATTTTAGCTCTGAGTTCTTGGATTCTGTGCGGCGTCACAACCTATAGGTCCACAGTCTCTATTAAAATCATTTGTGCAGAAATAAAAATTTTAAAGGAAATTTACACGTATTAAATATTTGTACAAATTATAAACCTTTTTGTTTTGGGGTGAGCGGTAACTATACACACTCTTTTTCCAACATTTTTACACAAATCAGAATTATGATTAGAAGCTGAAAGGCTTTCTTGTCCTTTTCTGAAACAGTCAATAACATACAGAGCTCTGAAATAACTGGATGTGTTTTGAGCAAATACTTATACAAATATTTAGACTCATTAAGCTAATTTGGCATTTAACATTTTTGCAGGGTCTCTCTAGCTCTGGCAACTAACCAGGGGTTATTCAAACATATTTTGACGCTTATTAACATAAAACCTGAATTTGAAAAAAAAAATGTCTGGTAAATCTTCAAGATTTAAACTGCAAATAATGTCAGTGATGCACTTAAGGTATTTTCTATGGTATACATTTCTCATCGCTGTTTCCAAAAATGTAAGAGTATAATTTTAAGGTGTCAACCTGCAGGTGTCAGCCTGAGACCACATCACCTACAGCAGCCTAATAGATCTCCATGGCTTAAATGAGCGAGGCACGATATATCGGTTAACAAATCAGTATCGGCTGATACGCGTTAAAAATCAAGATATTGGAATCAGTCCGATGTGTCAGTCTTGGCCGAAATTTCCAGCCAATATTAGAACTTTAACAACATTCAAAGTTAGCAGCACCAGGCCTAAACTATGAAAATAATGCAGATTATTATATCCTGCAGTGGAGAACGAGGGATTTTGTCACCTCATTCACCACTTAGAACAAATCTCAAAGCACAGGCCCACAGGCGAGACAGTATTATACAGCCCACGGCATGTTTTTAATTCATTATTAAATCTGGCCTGCAGATCGATCTTTCGTTTTCCACAGAATAAAGAACGGTGCAATGTCATTCTACGAATCTGCACTGGCAAGCTCAGCAAGTTTCACCACTGGTAAATCCTCCCCCCCCCCCCCCGCATGTGGCGGTGAGATTAGCCAGGTCATTGGTATCGGTCATATTAAACATAAATATATCAGTTATCAGAAATGGACAAAATTTCCACATCAGTGCACAACTACCTTAAATGTACTTTTATGTTCACCAATCAAACTTATTTTTAACGTACAGATCGACTAAAAATAATACAATACTACCTTAACAAATAGGGAAAACTAATACAGCTTTAGCTAATAAAATTAGGTTAAAACCTTAACCTTAAAAATAAGGTTAGCTAGTTAGGTAACAAAATGTCACCTTAAGCCACACATGATATCATTTATGTATTCAGGGGCCCCTGTAAAGTACTGGGCCCCCGGAATCTGCCAGGGTATCCAGGCCCCTACTGCACTCCTGAGCTGAGACAAAGTGCTGAGATTAGAGCAGAGTTTTAGCCAGTGTGCAGCACCCACAGAGCAGATGGGGTTAAGGGCCCAAGGTCCCAACAGTGATCTGATTACCACAGGATTCAAACCTACAACCTTCAAGTCACAGGACTAATACATAACGAGCTGAGTTACACACCACGACTGAAGGTACACAAGCCATATAATGTAACATTACTAGATTTATTTGAAGTGATACAAGTCAGCTATTGATTGTAGTTAAAAAGTAGCATTAATAAGTACTGTGTTCACATACAGTATAGGAAGTGTCTACCTTCTGAGCTCCAGTTGCAGTAACAGATAAAATTATGATTTTAGATAAAAGAATTGTTCTTGAATCCATTCATGCATCCATCCATTCATTTTGAGAAACCGCTTATCCTATTCAGGGTCGTGGGGGGTCCGGAGCCAACCCAGGATGGGGCACCAACCCATCACAGGGCACAGTCACACACACCATTCACCCACGAATACCTCAGCATGTTGGACTGTGGGGGGGAAACTGGAGTACCCGGAGGAAACCCTGCGATGACACATGAGGAGAACTTGCAAACTCCACACACCTGGAACCCTGGCAGAGACTTGATGTTCTTGAACCATTACTGCAATATTTCTTTTTTTAACTCCGGTAAAATTGCTAGTATACTACAAACTTAAAATGAAAGAAGACTTAATGTGTTCTGAATAAGATCGGAATAAGTAGACAGACATGATGAGCAAGTTCTCTGTAGTGTAATATTGATACCTCAGGATTCTGACTTTTAAATCATATCATAATGACAGCCACATCTATACCAAAGGACAGTTCTTCATGTAAACAGTTGGATCTTTGTACAAAGTGTTTAGGTATTTAAATCTCTCTATTAAGAATGTATGCGACATTTCTCAGTAAGCTCAGATAATGGTGGCTCATTAATGCGTTTCATTACTACATAATAGCCAATCATTAATTGTCTATATAAAAACAACATTGCGGTTTCAGATAAACAGGGACTTGCAAAATGGCTTTATTACTCATTTTATCCTAGACTAGTAGAATTATCTGGGGTTTTTGAACCAAAGTCTCCAGTCCAAATATTTATGCATCTCCTGCCCAAACATACTGATAAATCTGCAAAAGAACTTCAATTATATCTGAACAAATTTATATTACAAATATTCTACTAACAAATTAAACTGAATTTTAAATTAATGCTTAAAGATTTCAACGCGGTTAAGTCAAAGCATATACTAAGAATGCTCTTTGAACCTGTGAACTGTCAAGCCAGAAGTTATTAGAAATGTTATTTTCATACAATTGTAAAGATAGTGGTTTGAGAGGGAAAGCAGACATAGTATATTTTTGCTATTTAAGTTAAAAAAATGGCACGGCTTCCATAATTTCTCATAAGTTCTTCCCAGACACTTGACATCCAATTAAAGGTGTACACTCCTCCCAAGTCATTGATAAGAACTCTGTTTATTTATTTATTTATTGTCCGCCACCTCCTGATTCATTGACTTTAACTGCTTATCCAGTACGGGGTAAGACACCATCACAAAGACAGCCGTCCATCACAGGGCACAGACTCACAGAAACAGGCACAAAACTCCACCAAGCTATATATACTCACATGTCTTTTCCAAGCATAAGAAAATGCATTTTTACCCTGACTTGCTATGCTTATTGCCATCATCTGAATATATTTGCTTAAAAAATGCACACACAAAACTGTATAAGCACTAAAATCCCACAACTTAGTTATATGTGTATTGTTGAGTATAAAGGAAAGTTATTCCTGCTTAATTCTTTTTTATACCATGCCTTTTATACCATCCTTCTATAACATTATGTATATTTACACAGGTATGGAATATGACCAGGTGCACCAAACAGAGGATTTATTTTAACAGAGAAGTTATTAAACAGAGGAGATATATTGATATGGTGAACTTATATGCAGTGCAAATATAAGACAAAAAGATGACTTCATGGACTTATGCATAAAAAGTAACAAGAGAAGAAAGTAAACTGTACTGATCATTCATTCTCCGAAAAAAAGTAGATGTCAATATCAAAATTGCTGTAAACCAAAATGCTTAACACACACATCCAGTTCAAGGCAAACCTGCAAAACTACCTGTATATATGTGTGTATTCATATATAAATATCAGATTTGTTGGTTGCTAAATCGTCTTGTATTAGATAGAAACATAGTTAAGCAGATTAGTCTCTGCCTTATTTGATCGGTATCAGCAATTTGAAATTGTATTTTTAACCAAGGCAATCTAAAGTAATGTAACGTAAGGAGCAGGTAAGAAGGCCTTTGGTTTTCATAATAAGCAGATACTGTATATGTGATAAGTTAACAGGAGTCGAAATAATCACTATGCACTAACCTTTGTTGTTTTTGGAACATCAATAACAGGGGGAGAAAAATCTGTAAGACTGCTTCCTGCTAAGAAATCTCACTTTCATAAAAACTTCCCTGGTATTTCATTTAATTTACACATTTACTTCATGTCGACTCAGTATTTCCTGGGTTAAATAATAATAATAATAATAATAATAATAATAATAATAATAATAATAACAATAGATGTGACCATGTGACTTAAATAGGCAAAACTAAAACATTCAACATAAAGATCTAGCGGTTTTCGAACGCGAAGTCCCGTCATCACCTGCATTTACGGTAACGCGTTTTTGCATGAAAAAAAAAACAATTCTTCAACTGCATGATTATTCTTGTTTTTAATGTGTATAGTACACACGCACGTCCCGTACACAGCCTACTACGCTACATGCTTTTTACCCTTAAACTGCACATGTGACCGCCAAGGCAAGTTATTACCATGGCCTCCATTATACGGCCAACTGCCTCCGTTTAAGAGATAAGACTGTGGTGCTACGTTCCAACTAAATTAAAAATTCCATTGATTTTTTTGCGTTTCACTGTGAGAAATGCCTCCAGGTTAACCCTTTATAATCGATACCGTCTACTTTACAGTAATATGCTAAACCGTGCTACCGCATTACCTTCTGTAAGGAAAAAGACAATGTAGTTTTCCCTGTTAACACACGGTACATCCTAAACGTATGCAATAATAATAATTGCTATTATTATTTCTATTTCAATATAAAACATTACTTGAAAGCAAACGATTTTCAAATAAATTTGACTGATATTTGTGGACCGAATTTAGAATTTACACTATATATTCAAATGGGCATTCAACAGCATTAAATGGTTATTTATATAGTAATATCGTTGCATACATTATAAAAGGCCTATTCGAACCTCTGATTAGTTTCAGTCTTAACTTATTAATCGGACAACTGACAAATATATTATTCAAAACAACATGAACACAGATTATTAAATTACAAGTCTATTATATAGCAAGTAGAAACCACGTAATGCTTTAAAGTACAGAAATTACTGCAGCAATACCATACAGGCCGGCCGCTGCATCTCCTACGTGAACAGATACCGTGGATATACCTATGGTAGGCATAACAGGGTTTGGTAAGGCTGAATTAAACGTGGAAACCAGCTTGAGGCGATCTTACCTTTACCCCCAAATCGAAGATTTTTTTCTGCGATAAGATCCAAATAAAATATTCCCTTAATTTGATCCAATGATGAACGCTGGTTTACTGATTGAGATTCACCCCGTTGTATTTCCTCGCCGGCATCCCAGGCTCCTCTGTAAAATAATTCTTTCAGATGTGTAGGTCTGTGGTAGAAGTCAGCTGGATTCTGTTGTATTTTTGTTTGATTATAATATAGTACATGCAAAAAAAAGGTCCTTATAAGCCGAACCTGTTTCTTTATTAATCAGGTGACTAGCCGGTTAATTCAGATGGCCTGTCTACAGTACACGCGCTCTTTCCCCCTTCCTTTCCCCCCGCGCCCCTCTCTCTTCTCCGTTAGCAACGCTATAATAAACGCGGCATCAGTGTAGCGCATCCAGCCTCTGTTTGGAAGAAGGGTGAGGAAGACGTTGCACTGCGACTTTAGGTAACTGAAAGCGACACCCTACGGTTACATTTTACAAAAGGTGCATCTCGACTGCTTTGCTTGGGGTAACGGTTTGTGGCATATGAATATATTCTTTTATGTAAGAAACTGCGACGTGTAGCTGCAGTTATAATTGAGAATTATTAATGGCACAATAATAAGGACTATGTATAAAGTGTAGGCTGCATATAACGGGCTAACAAAGGCATTCCATTGCATGAAACCAGTAAGCTAGATGCAAGCGAATTTTACCTTTTCACTTACCAATTCACAAGTTTCTTAAATAAAATGACACGGTGGTGTATAGTTTTATCAGTGGTAGCAATTATTAAAAATCGTAAGGATAATGAGAAGTATTCGTGCATGTGTTGAGAAATCTTTTAACAATACAGTACGCCTGTACACTACTGCTGTTGGACAGCCATGTTGGCACATTCTATTGAAACATTCAATTAAATGACAGTGGATAAAATGCATTTTAACCAGTGATTGTGAAGTCCTATATACTGTAGATAACAAGCAGTTCATATCATATATAAACGATCGAGCAGTAGCAGCTTAGTATAATGATAAATAATTGATGATTTTAACATTTGTTATTTATACAAGTGCATTGAAGCACTTATGGGATTAATATCAAGAATCCCACACAACGCAGTTTTTTCATCACTGTTATTCTTTTCTAAATATTAATGACAGCTCATGCCGTCAGATACACAAGTTATTCTTATACAATTTGCCTTTCAAGACATATACAAACATTATGGCTACCCTATTCACATTTTAATCGTATCATACACCGCATCACTGGAGAGGTAAAGACAGAGATAAGCCATGTTTTACTTATTAGAACAAGCTAGATGTTAAAGGCATCTTTAGTTTAAATAGCTTCTATCCATTACTTGAAATACATTTTTGAGACACACGTCTCTTAAATAATACTGATTATTCTCAAATTGTATTGTCCAAAATCTAACATGTGACCCGTACTAACGTCTTGTGAATCTGTGTCTAATAAACTAAAGCAGTAGGTCAGTGTTTAATGGAGAACAGGTACGCCAGAAGATGACGTCACTGTAGTGCGCCGGTTTAGTCAAATGTTGCTACCTGGTTACTTATATTTAAAGTAACGTTTGCCGACGAGAACTTATAATGGAACAGACCTGGGTTCAATCACTTTCGACATTAATGATATGTAAACTTTTTAAAAAGGACATGAAATCTGACCGAAACAGTCTTTACTGATCTATTTTTTAATGCAGCCACAAGAGGAGACAATCGACCAGCTGTGAGGCAGAAAGCCTTACAGCAGAATCGTTACAGTCTTCGGACGTTAGCAGCATGCAGTACAGTCTCGTATGGTTAATAGGGGATAAACTAAAGCACATAGAAAACACTTAGCAAACTGGACATTCTTGACATTCATTTAACCAAATTTGGCCACTGATTATTCATCCTTGTGTGAATTAGTCAATGATCCGACTTGTGCGGCGTTAACAGCTGGCGCATCTGGCGTGACACTCTTTCACGGCAAATCTAAATTATTCTATTATAAACCTGAAATTAGCTACATCATACTCGTTGGGGCAGTTTGAAAACCCTACAGACCATTTACAATGTAATAAAAATGTTATATGCATGTAAATGCGTGTGCAGACTTGTCTTGAATTGAAAATCTCACTCCAGCCTGCTGACCAAAGTTGGCAGCCCTGTCATGACTTGTAAAATGGGGTGGTGAATGTGTTTTTTTATGTCATTAATGATGTATTCACTACATGGGCCAAGTAGCCTATCTATCTGGAAGAGTCTGCTTTAGGAATGTCATTTTCATGATTACCAGGCTTCCTTTTCAGATGCTGAGTTTCCATTCGCTTTATGGGTTATTTGTTGTTGCGCATCTAACATGAGCACGTTGGGTGGAGAGTGAGGTCATAAGAAGCTGTAGGCCTGTATGTTGCTGTACGCCTGGGGCATAGCCCAGTTTGCGCACCCAGTTGAATGAACTTTTTTTCCCACACAAACAGGTACGTGGGCTCCCCCCGGTTGGCAAAATGTGTCTTCCCCAGCGAGTTCGATCATGCAGTCGGACCAGATTAAGTTGAATTTCGACCCTGGGGGAGATGACATGAAAGTGGCACACCTAACGACAATGTAAAACAATTCATAAGTTTGGCCTTTAGGAAAGTAAAGCAGTAGTTATTATACGTCCATATTAGTTTATTGTGCTTGAGTTCTTGCACACCTTGTTTTCCTGTGGCACACCCAAAGTCACTTTTCTAGCTATGCCACTGCTCTATGTTCACTATCGTAGGGCCATCTCTGTGTTGGTGCTTTACCTGATTTATTCTTTGTAAAATCTGTTAAAAGTTTCCTTTGCATATCTGTTTGAACTGACTTTACTGGTGTACAAGCTTGTGAATAATAAAAAATCTAATTTTATGTTGGGGTGGACATTATGTTAATTTAGCTAGTTGATGTTAACCGCAACAGGCCCTGTCACAGGCGGTCTTTTGCACCCTGGACCGGATAGCAGATCCCTGCAAAACCCACACATACCATGTGGAATTTAGAGAGAGCGACTCCCTTAACTATACATAGCAGGAACCTGGAACTCCTGGAGGTGGGAGGTGACAGTGCTACCCACCCACCCACCATGCCTTGTCTAGTCTAACCATAGTTTACAGATTAAACCATAATAGCAGTACGTCCATCCATCTAGTCCAGGGGCCTATTTCATGAAGCAGGATTTCTTGTTTAGCCGAATAACTTGTCAGATTTCAGGTAGTCTGGGCTGTTTAGTTGGTTGATCAACAATACACATATAGTGAATGAAGGCAGAGTCCATTTAGCCCAGACTACCTTAAATCCGACAGGTTATCTTGCTAAGCAAAAATCTTGCTTTATGAAACAGGCCCCAGGACTGCTCTGCCCTGCTCCTGGAGATATGCCACACTGCGGTGCTTAGATACTGTACAGCCCTAATTTAACACAACTGATACAAATAATCAGGCGCTTCAGTAGCATCCCAGGATACAGTTATGCTAAGCTCTGCCGGGTGGTACAGTACATTTCCAGGAGCAGAAATGAGCAGCCCTGATCTACTCTAACGGTATGTTTTTGGACTGCAGGAGGCCACTGTAGTACATAGAACAACCTAACATTACACACAGGCTGGATTCACACACACAGGCTGCTCCCCAGTGACCAGCCTTACCACTTAAGAAGAGAATTAATCTAGATAGTTTTTATATTAATAGTCATATTGCCCTGCATTTACCATATTTATGATAATACAAGCAGCCTGAAAAAAAAACCCTACTCATGCACACCACATTATCCATCAGAAAGTTTTACAAATTGGGAAGATCCTGTAAAATAGAGTGAGAGCTTGACAAGGCTTTAGTGACAAATGTAAACAGAATGTTTTAAAATTTCACTTTCTGTTTCATCAATGGCATTAAAAATTGTAGGTTCTTTGCTCGTAATAATTATTTTACATCGTGCAGGCTCAGAATTATGAAGGATACAGTCTGCTGATCTACCATCTACTGCTGCCGAGTTAGTAAAGCAGCATGTTGAAACTGAATTAGCAACGAGTCCCATTACATTTCGAAACAATAGGTGGTAGTATAGTGATAAAATAATAGGTACAATAATAAGAGGTACAATATGACGATATTTCCACGTCTTGTCTTGTATTCAAATTGTTATTAATGAGATAACTGTGGCCTACATTGTTGATTTGTATTTTTTATTAATCATTAACTCCTCGGATGTCTGCTTTAGGTGTGCGTAACGAAAGTGCGTTTCCGGTTTTGTGGAAAAAGGCGTTTCTTTCTGTTATCAGTTCGAGGTCTTTTTTTATTGCGTTGCAGTATCACTTCTGCTGTATTTCTTTCCGCTGATCGCTGTACGTCCCTTCGTCCGCTCATTTGCAGGTTATTCGGAGTCATGGCTGGGACAGTCAAGAATGTAGCGATATTCGGTTCCACAGGACTGACTGGTTTAGCTACCCTGCCACAGGCTGTGGCGGCAGGTATGGTTAGAAATAGTTTTAAAGAGGCATCTTTATGTAATATGTATTGGGTCTTGTGGTTTTCGGAAGTTACCAGGTGTAAACATTAATCGTACGCAGAATAGTTCACATCATTTAAAGTTATAATAAACGTAAAGATATGGTGAATGTGAAGGCTGCTTTTTGTGTGAATGTTATATTTTATTGTAGTTTTGAGGATTTGTTTAACTGCATGGAAGGTATCATGAGATGCATGCATTGGACGTTTCAGAAGTTCCATTTATTGATATAACTGCAGCATGAGTCATGTTAATAATTAACAAACAAAAAACGTTTTCATTCTCCTTTATTATTTGCCCTTTTTATCCTCTTTTTGCCATCTGGCGAAATTTGTAATTACAAAATTATTAATATATATATATATATATATATATATATATATATATATAGTTATGAATAGAAAGCGCTACATTTGAAAATTACATTACAAACGATGGTTAATGTCATTCAGCGACATAAGCAGAGTTATGCATGAAGTTTAAAATGTAACAGTTGCAGTTTTATGCTGAGTAAGGAAGGAGGTGATTGCGACGGGAGAGATAGTGCTATGCTCATTTATCACCTTAAACCAGGATGGGTGGTCTCCGTGTCCCCGGGATTCTCCCCGGCAGTAACTTGTTTACAAATTTTGAAATAAATATTAATCAAGAAATTTTTCATTTAGGTTCCTGTGGATACATTTTTATATATATAATTTTAACATTAAATTGATAGCATTATATAACTTGGCACGCTCAGATATCAGTTTATTAGGTAGCCTTGCTTGGAAACGCAAATATTCTGCA